ACACTTGTCCTCTTTTCCATGCTCATCTTATTGAGGCATTGAGGAAGTGGATTCCAAAATAGCGCTTTAAAGCTTGGAGTTTTGCAAATTTTGATATTAAAATCTACACTGTCAGATTTATTGTGTGTGTGTGTGTGTGTGTGTGTTGCCTAGCACAGTTATCAAAAATAATGATAAACAGACAATGAAAGTTCAAGCAATTTGTTTCAAAAATAATAAGAGCACGAGAGCGATGCTAAAATAGCAAACAGTTGCAATTCTATTGAAAAGAGGACACGCTGGTCACTCTCCAAAATGAAGTACTAGCCCAATTAAATTACACCTACAGTAGAAATAACCATGATTAAATGTGAAATTTCACACTCCAACACAACAATAGGATACTGATTTACACATATGACACACTGCAAAATTATACTCAATTATGCTGCACACACTAATTAGGACGTGGCTCTAATTTTAAAAATTTAAAAAAAGAAAAAAATCAGGACGCAACAGTGGCTGACGTTGTTCTGTGCTAAAACGAGACAAAGAAGCTAAAAAAAAATGACTCATCAAAACAGACATCTTTCATTGTTCATTCATAAAACACTCAGATACACAGAGCTAGTTGCTACAGTATCCCATACCTTTTTATGAGGCAGCAACTGAAAGCTGGCCCTGCTTTATAAATGCACGTACAGGTCTGGCAAAAAATAAAAAAACAAAAAAACAGAGGCTGTGAGCTTATTTATTAACCAAAGTTGTAAACAACATAAGCAGGACATGATTCATTAGATTAACAGATCAACAGTTTTAAAAAAAAAAGCATAAATCATAAATTATGAACATACCAAGAAAACGATATAAACATTCTGCACAGCTGCTTCTTGTATATTAGGTTTGTAATTCTAAACAAAAGCAATTGCATCAGCATATACAGTGCCTTGCGAAAGTATTCATGGTGTTTTTCCTGTTTTGTTGCATTATAACCTGGAATTAAAAGGGATTTTTGGGGGGTTTGTACCATTTGATTTACACAACATGCCTACCACTTTGAATGTGCACAATACTTTTTATTGTGACCCAAACAAAAATTAAGACATAAAAACAGAAATCTTGAGTGTGCATAAGTATTCAACGCCCCCCCCCAAAAAAGAATACTTTGTGGAGCCATCTTTTACCACAATTACAGCTGCAAGTCGCTTGGGGTATGTGTCTGTTAGTGTAGCACATCTAGCTACTGGGATTTTTGCCCATTCTTCAAGGCAAAACTGCTCCAGCTCCTTCAAGTTAGATGGGTTGTGTTGGTGTACAGCAATCTTCAAGTCAGGCCACAGATTCTCAGTTGGATTGAGGTCTGAGATTTGACTAGGCCATTCCAAGACATTTAAATGTTTCCCATTAAACCACTCCATTGTACTTTTAGCAGTATGTTTAGGGTCATTGTCCTGCTGGAAGGTGAAACTCCGTCCCAGTCTCAAATTTCTGGCAGACTAAAACAGGTTTTCCTCAAGAATTGCCCTGTATTTAGTGCCATCCATCTTTCCTTCAATCCTGACCAGTTATCCAGTCCCTGCCAATGAAAAACATCCCCAAGCATGATACTGCCACCACCATGCTTCACTGTGGGAATGGTGTTCTCTGATGGGTTTGTGCCACACATGGCGTTTCACAAGATGGCCAAAAAATTCAATTTTAGACTCATCTGACCAGAGAACCTTCTTCCATGTGTTTGGGGAGTCTGCCACATGCTGTTTGGTGAGCTACAACTTGGACTATTTTGTTAGGTAAAAATCCAAATAAAAATTCATTTTAATTCCAGGTTGTAGTGCATCAAAACAGGAAAAACATCAAGGGGGTGAATACTTTTGCAAGGCACTGTAAACACTCTGTTGCTACACTCAGCAAGTTCACTATAGAGAGAATCAAAAATTTACCTGAGGCTAAAACACTGCTCAGGCATCATCTCAATTGCAAACTTCTTATACATAAGGCATTATTACTTTAATTGAATAATTAGCCATAGTTAGCTTGGCCAACCTGCTAACCAACCAAACAAACACACAATAACCACCAGCTTTTGATAATGAGGTACTGCTGTTTGGCCACAACAACCAACAACTGCATAATAAATATCATTAAAGATGTCAATGTCAATGTCAATTTTATTTATATAGCACCATTAAAAACATAAGTTGACCAGAGTGCTTTACAACATTAATTACTGAAGCTAAAATAGAAATAAAACAATATCAGTAAAAAGCCAACATTATAGCTGCTATTACATAACAATCATATAACAAATTTGAAACTATCTCTACAACTGATCAAATGACCAGGAAAAGAAATAAGTTTTTTAACTTAGATTTGAAAATAGTTAAGGTAGGAGCAGTTCTAATGTGTAGAGGCAGGCCATTCCAAAGCTTAGGGCCAGCCACAGTGAAAGCACGATCACCCCTAAGCTTCAGTCTAGATCTGGGAACCGTTAGTAGCACTAGATCACATGACTTGAGAGTTCTAGAGGGATTTTGAACAGATAGAATTTAGTAGAATTCTGTAAAGAATGAAGCAGCTAGATTGTTCAGAGATTTATACACTAATAGGAATGTTTTGAAATCAATTTACCAGTATAGTGAAGCAAGAATAGGGGTTATGTGTTCACGCTTCCGTGTACCCATCAGGAGTCTGGCGGCAGCATTCTGGACTAATTGTAATCAGGCCATAGATGTCTGATCAATTCCAGTGTAGAGAGAGAGTTTCAGTAGTCCAGATGAGAAGAGATAAAAGCACTTTTTAGTCACCTTTTTGAAGATCCTTAAAAATTAGAAGAGACTTGACCTTAGCTAAGAGCCTAAGTTGAAAAAAACTTGATCTGACAACCGCATTAATCTGCTTGTCCAGTTCGAAATCCCTATCCAGTAAAAACCAAAAATTTTTTGGTTTTAAATTTGTTCGGTAGGCGCCGGACCAAAAATAGCAATCTCAGACTTACTCTCATTTAAATGTAGCAAATTTGAAGACAGCCATGATATTAGTCCTTTTAGGCAAGACAAAATTGGTTCAAGAGCAATTGAGTCTCCAGGTTTTAGAGACAAGTAGATTTTGGTATCGTCAGCACAACAGTGAAAAGACACCCCATGTCTCTTAAAGATAGCACCTATAGGGAGCATGTAAAGGGAAAATAAAACTGGGGCAAGAATGGAGCCCTGCGGCACTCCATAGGTGAGATGGGCTGAGGAGGAGGTGAAATTCCCAATGCTAACTGAAAAGCTCCATTAGTAATGTAATGACTTCTGATTAATGATATGATTAGGAGGAGGAGGAAACCCAAGATTGAAAAATGATACATCAAAATGGAGCCCTTGCTCCATGTTGAGATCATCAAGTCCATCGCCAGACTCCAAGTTCAACACCAAGCCATCTGTAGCCACCCTGCCCGCACCTCATGTCACCCTGATGAAGATGGCTCTGCAGGATGACCCTGATGCATTCATGGAACTCTTTGAGTATGTGTCAGTGGCATGCGGTTGGCGTGAGTCACAGTTGGTTATTTGTTAGCTTGTTGTCCGGCAGAAACCCAGCTCATGGATGATCTCAGCAAAGCCATCTTTCAAAGGGTCAGTCATACCCCCAATCAACATTTCTCCAAGGTTTAAATCATTGACCCTTCAGCATTTGTGTCTGCAAAGCTCAATAGTACACAAGAGAAGCATGATGTGGAGAGGTCATGGACCTGAGGGTACTGGAGCAATTTGTTATGACAAACTTCCAGAAGGGAAAGCCAAGTGGATCCAGTGTGACTGGCCAGCAATGCTGGATAAAGACATCCACCTTGTGGAGAATCACTTGATGGAAGTCAGGGTACAGGCAGCATCCTTTCTCTCTCTCCTCTCTCTCTTACCCCCATCAACCTAGGATGTACCACATACCTGTAAATATCCAAGGGGGTATGCCACCAAATAGAAATTGATAGTAACCCAGCATATAAATGTGGATATCCATGTGCTCACCTTCACCCAGTGTGTTCTATGCAATGCTCCACCTTGAACCACGCTTTGGTGGACTGAAATGTTATGTAATCCCAGGTATGTGGTACAATTGAAGCCAAAGGTTTACCTACACATAGTACAAAACCGACAAAATGCAGTTAGCATCTAAACAGAGGTGTGCAAAACAGCAAGTGGCATTAAATGTAAAGTGCAAAGAGACAATGAGGTAGGGTGGCGGTAAAGTGCAAGTGACGTGAAAATGGCATGTTATCAACAGCGCAAATAGAATATAAGGCATGAAAAAGAACTGCGCTAAACAGTGGCATGATATGCGTAAATGAGTCTAGAGATATGGATTGCAGTAATAAACAAAGGTGCAAATAGATAGCACTGTGCAATTCACTATATCAGAATTCCAGTGGTTCAAAGGTTTACATACACAGAGTTGAGTGTCTTCTTAATTAGTCTTAAATGTAATAACTTCTGATTGAAGTAACTAGCTTCTGATTGGCTAATTGTCATAACTAGGATTTAATGGGAGCACACCTATGGCTGTGAAAGGGTCTACCTTTAGACACAGTGCTTTTGTCCTTGATACCATAAGAAACTCCAAGCAACCAAGACCTCAGAAAAAAAAGACCTCCACAAGTCTGGTTCCTCCTTAGGAGCAATTTCCAAACAACTGAAGGTACCACAGGCATCAGTACAAATAATTGTATGCAAATATATTTGTATAAATACCACTGATAATAGGGCAGGCATAATGGTTGCAATGCAGAGGTATGAGATCAATGCCTCTGGTAGCGAGACTGGTTGACTAGTTAGTACTACAGATTTGGGCTGCACTACTTGCAGCCCAAATAAAAAAGAGGAGCTTACATCCTGGTTTGCAAAACATATGATACATTGGTGAGCGTAATTTTTGTCTCTAATACAGTGGCACACTTCCTCCTGGCCCTCAATGAAATAATGCCTCAGCAAGAGGTACAATGGGCACAGAGAAACTCCAGATATCGTTTCAAGCAGGGGGACATAGTGACTTAGTGGTTAGTGTGTTTGTCTCGCACCTCCAGCGTTGGGGGTTTGAACCCCACTTCTGCCATCTGTGTGCAGAGCTTACGTGTTCCCCCTGTGCTTTGGGGGTACTACTCTGGCTTCTTCCCCTGGTCCAAAGACGTGCGTTGTAGGCTGATTTACTAAAGGGGAGCATAAACTAGTCAGTTTGAACTAGTTCTTGAAGTTGTAGACCATCACCAACCTTCATGCATAACGGTGATATCACAGGATTAACCAGTTTATGAAACTTGCCATCTAAGCCGATACAGATTTAAAGTGGCTATTGCTTAAGACTAGCCATCAGTATGGCCAGACAAATAACTGAATTATATGCATTACTCATCTGCACATACTTTGTGCTCTCTGTGTACTGCATGAAGAGTTTGAGTGACCCTCAACAGCATACAGTCTGATTGATTTTTATCCTCGAAAGAGTACAATATCAGCACCATGAGTAATTCTCACCCTCAATAGACAGCACTATCAGAATGTTGAGTGATTCTTATTCTCAGTAAAGAACAGTATCTACACTTGAGTTTTAGTAGTCCTCAACAGCCTAAAGAACAGTATCAACACTTTGAGTAATTGTCATTCTCAGCAGGAAGCAGTGTTAACAGTTCTGACGTGCTTCAAGGCCACCATCATCACCCCTGTGCCAAAGAAGTCTTCAGTGTCCTGCCTCAATGACTACCATCCCGTTGCACTTACATCCCCAACTTACACTTACCGCCCCAACCGCA